ATCAAGCAACTTTTGTCTCTCAGCCTTGAAATGGCTTTTGACTCCATGTCCTCCTAACCACCATTCCTAGGGTTAGACCTAGGGTTAGGGTTAGAGGAGGGATGAAGCACAGAGGCCCATGTGGAGTTCAACTCCAGAGGACATGGAAAATGACATGCAGGGCTACAACTAGAATGCCCATCCGGCCACATATGTCTCTCACTCTTCCATTGACTTGATAGTCTGCATCCACGTCCACCACCTTCTTGCGTTACAGTTAGGATCAGGGTTAGGGTTAGAGCAGTGATGAAGTGCATTGCCTCGTGTGGAGTGTCGCTGCAAAGGACATGCAAAAGCACATGCGGGGCAGCAGCAAATCTTTCTTTCCGGCAACATTTGTCTCTCAGCTCTCAACTGGCTTGACGACTCCGTGACCTCAAAGCCCTCGCTGCTAGGGTTAGAGCTAGGGTTAGGGTTAGAACAGGGATCAAGCACAGGGGCCCATGTGGAGTGCAACTCCAGAGGACATGGAAAATGACATGCAGGGCTACAGCAAGAATGCACATTCGGCAACATATGTCTCTCACTCTTCCATTGACTTGATAGTCTGCATCCACGTCCACCGCTTTCTTAGGGTTACGGTTAGGATTAGGGTTAGGGTTAGAGCAGTGTTGAAGTGCAGAGGCCTATGTGGAGCGCACCTGCAAAGGACATGCAAAAGCACATGCGGGACAACACCAAGACTGCCCATCCGGCAACTTTTGTCTCCCAGCCTTCAACTGGCTTGATGACTCCGTCCTAGGAGTTAGGTCCTCCTAACCCCCGTTGCTAGGGTTAGAGCTAGGGTTAGGGTTAGAGAAGGGATGAAGCGCAGAGGCTTCCATTGACTTGATAGTCTGCATCCACGTCCACCGCTTTCTTAGGGTTACGGTTAGGATTAGGGTTAGGGTTAGAGCAGTGTTGAAGTGCAGAGGCCTGTGTGGAGTGAGGCTGCAAAGGACATGCAAAAGCACATGCGGGGCGGCAGCAAATCCGCCCCTCTGGCAACTTTTGTCTCTCAGCCTTCAACTGGCTTGATGACTCCGTGTCCTCGCAACCCCGTTGCTAGGGTTAGGGTTAGGGTTAGGGTTAGGGCTACAGCAGTGATGAAGCACAGAGGGCCATGTGGAGTGCACCTGCAAAGGACATGCAAAAGCACATGCGGGAAAACACCAAGACTGCCCATTCGGCAACTTTTGTCTCTCACTCTTCCTTTGACTTGACAGTCTGCATCCACGCCCATCGCTTTCTTAGAGTTATTGTTAGGATTAGGGTTTTGTTTAGAGCAGTGATGGATTGTCTTGCCCCGTGTGGAGTGTGGCTGCAAAGGACATGCAAAAGCACATGCGGGGCAGCAGCAAATCTGCCCGTCCAGCAACTTTTGTCTCTCAGCCCTCAACTGGCTTGATGACTCCGTGTCCTCGAAACCCCCGTTGCAAGGGTTAGGTCTAGGGTTAGGGCTAAAGCAGGGATGAATCACAGAGGCCCATGTGGAGTGCACCTGCAAAGGACATGCAAAAG